AATTGGATTCAACTGGATCCATCATAAAGAGATTTAGAATTAATTATATTTTAACAAATTATGGCCCCTCTTTTGCTAATAAACATGTCATAATACTGAAATAGGTTTATTTACTCTCAAAGTTTATATAATCATTAACAGAATTACTGTTTACATGATGATGGTTGTAAATATTTGTGCCTCGTTTCTTTTCTTTTTTTTTTTTTAGAAAAAAAGAGCAGCTTTATTTGATTAAAGCTTTGTTTTGCATACAAGAACTAATGGATAATTTCCTGGGTTTTAAGCTTTTATATTACAGACATGTAGAACAATGCAATAAGATATATGTCCTGTTCAAGTGATATCAATGCTTCACTCAACCATACATTATATTTTATTTTTAAGGGTGATTTTAAGGGTGAGGCTCTTGCTGCCTCCATGGCTTGCTCGCTGTTCTCACAGAGATGGCATCCCCTCCTCTTCCTGGAGCCTATTATGACATGGTGCATCGGCCATAGCCAGGCGGGGCATGTTTCGGAATGGAGATCAAATCACACATTTCCCCGAGTGACCGAGGTGTGCATGCAGCACCAAAAAGCGCCAGAAGATGCCCCTGTGAGATGAGAGACAAGTACAGGGGTGCTTCCCTCCTGCTGTGGAATATGGAGTGAGTCTCCATCCCCACTGTCGCCATTACCTTCTCAGGCCACACGAGGAGTGACTGGGAGGGAAGGGCCACGGCCAACCAGCTGACAGGGAGCCACAGCAGAGGGACTCAAGAGCCACATGTGGCTCAAGCGCTGCACGTTGCCGACACCTGTACTAGAGACCTGAGGGTTTGAGGATTCTGTGTAGTATCCTAATACTGTACTCTTATGGAGTGAGAATTCTTAATATTGTTCCTGGAATCTATTGGAGCTATTCTCTTGGCTTAGAAGTCACAAACCCAAGTACTCCTATCATTACTGGAAACACTTTGGCTTTTACTTTCCACACACAAACACACACACACGTGTGTGTGTGTGTGTGTGTGTGTGTGTGTGTGTGTGTGTCTGTCTGTCTGTCTTCCATACAATCATGTCCAATTCTCAGAGACTGCCTGGACAAGTCCCTGCCATTTCCTTGGTAAGGTTTTCCGGAAATAATTTACCCTTCCTAGGACTGAGAGAAAGTGTCTGGTCCAAGGTCACCCAGCTGACTTTATGCTTACAGCAGGATTATAACTCCCAGTCTCTAGGTTTCTAGCCTGACACTCTAACCACCACACTAAACTAGCTCTTGTTGTGTGATAGTATATCAATTCTTATATATAACAATTAAATGTGCTTTCAAACATACACAGACAGAAGACAGATCAATCAGTAAATATGCAGATCAATCAATCAATCAATCAATCAATCAATATCTCTCCAGTCACTGTCCACCGCATTTAAAAGAAAAAAAACAGAATGAAGTAAATAAACACAATATACTAACAACTAGCAAAAGAAATCTCACAGAATGACATTCACTCATCTATTGCTGTGGTTGCGGCCTTTTAGCTAAGATCAAGCACATTATACATCAACTTAAAAAAAAATAGGCTGGATGTATTCTGATGCATGGGTTTTCAACATTTTGTCAGGCCNCCCCACAGTCTGGGTCCTCATTTCACCCACCTCAGAAGGATGGAAGGCTGAGTCAACCTTGAGCCGGTGAGATTTGAACCACCGAACTGCAGATAACAGTCAGCTGAAGTAGCCTGCAGTGCTGCATTTAACCACTGCGCCACCTCGGTTCTCCGAACTACTCAAAATTTCCGCTACCAATTCTCCAGAACTGCTCAGAACCTGCTGAATTTCCACTTCCGTCCTATATGTTTTGAGTGTAGGTAGGCGGGTCGCACCAGGCGGGGGGTTCGATTAATGCGATATTTGAATTTGTGCAAAATTGTGAAATCGATACCGAGTGGTGCAGTGGCCTAGAGGTGGAGCTCTCGCCTCATAACCAGAAGGCTGTGAGTTCAATCCTAGGTAGAGGGAGATATTTCTCATCCTCTGGGCACAATGAGACTACATCTGCTAAACAAAAACTCTGTTCTGGTGACAGGAAGGGCATCCGGCCAGTAAAACTCTCTGCTACTTGCATTCAATTGCCCAGACTCCACCCTGCAAGGGATTATTGAGACATTAAATCTGGAAAATAATGCTAAGAAAAATCTGTCAGAGCAGAAAGTCAATATGGTTTTGCAACCATCTTACTACTGCAGTGATTCACTTAACAACTGTGACCAGAAAAGTCATATAATAGGGGGGTAAAATTCACTTAACGGCTGTCTCATTTAGCAGCGGAAATTTTAGGCCTTTCAGGCTGCCTGTACTCCCAGTGTGGTCTTACTAAAGCTTTGTAAAGCGGTACCAACACTTCACGTGATCGTGATTCTGTCCTTCCGTTAACGCAGCCTGGAACTCCAGACATTCTACATGCATGTGGACTAATTCCCACATTTAATGTGGACATTTTCGGCTTTGTTTTTATTTATTTATTTTTTACTCCCTCCTCATTCCTTCCACCCGAGCTGGGGTGCCGAGTCTCTAATTGGCTGTGTAAATAAAAGACCGGGTATATAAGTATTAACCAAACGTAATTATTAGCTAAGATGCTGTTTGTGTTGGGGGGAATCGCGCGGTGGGTGACTTTCAAACAGCTTTCAAGTCCTTACACATTTGAGAAACTGTTAATTACAGCGGTGGCACCAATCCTTAATCTACTTCTAGCTTTAAATCACCGCTCTAAGCACTTCGTTTCTTATCTAAATAACACTCTGGTGGGTATGTCATCTACATCAGTGGTCTCCAACGTTGGCAACTTTAAGACTTGTGGACTTCAACTCCCAGAGTTCCTCAGCCAGCAAAGCTGGCTGAGGAACTCTGGGAGTTGA